TAATGCATGACTGTGAAAGAAACATTTAGTCATTGAGGTTCTCTTGTGCCAACATTTTGTAAAACAAAACATCTAGTCAGGTAAGTCTGATTTAATGTTTGTTAAGGGGTTATTTTCTTGACAAAAGTGAGTTTTTCTGAGGGGACTGAGAATGAAGGTGACACCTTTATGTGAAGGACCCTGAAAACCAGTACGAGGTGAACGTTGATGTGCAGCTTTTAATGAGCTCCGAACATTAGCAGACCAAGGTCTTTATGCTTTTATGTTTATAAAAGATAAGTTTCTCTTTCTGTAAATTGAACCTTTCATCGTTCTGATGAGAGCGCATTTCTTTTTGATGTTGATGTGTCAGAAAAAAAAAAAACACAGCAGAACCTGGTGTGCTGTGTCATTTCAGTACGAGCCTTTTTCTGTTGGGTGTGTAACGCTGCAGAATATTTTTAATGCACACTAAAGTTTAAAGCTCACTGCATTGGAAATACTACTCAACTATTCTTTACTCCCTGAGCATTGCAGACCATGTCGTTCTGAATACAAGCTGCTCTGAAACGTTAAAAAAATGTAAAATTAGACTTGCACTTTCTTTAAAATACTGATTGAATAATTAACCACTTCCAGCAAAAGCTATTAAAACCCATCCTGGAAGTACTGACAGTTCTTACGCAGATGAACCATTTAAACGAGGGGTTCTCCTGACCTTTTCCAATCAGCAGGCTGATCTGAGAGTTGATGAGTTTCTCCCCTCGGTCTCCCTCCCTGGCCACCAGCCTCAGGACGCACATGAAAGGCCGCACGTCGTTGATCCGCCTCGACTCTTCCTCCAGTTCCTCCCTCTCCGCCGTCTCGTTGATGCAGGTGAAGACGTAGCCGTCGGGGTCACCGAGTCCACAGTACAGGGCCTCGCTTCGGGCATTTTTCCAAACCATCTGGAACAAAAAGACACCAGGACCGCTCACTTTTCAACACTTATGCTCAAAAATGTAGATAAAACCATAGTGAGATCAAACATATGAACAAGTTAACGTATTTTTTGGACTATAAGGTGCACCGGATTATAAGGCGTATTAAGCGAAACAAGTTCATTTTGACAGTTTTGAAGTATTAAGTTATGGTAACAACAATTTAATCCTTATGGCTAATTTTTTTTAATCCACAAATGCCGTTTCCTGAAAATTACCCCCATGCTCAACATTTTTACGTGAAATAATTTTATTTAAGGAAGTGCTTAAATGCTGCAACCTTCCAAAAGCTCAATCGTTATACCAGTATATTAATAGGTTATTTTAAGACTTGAAACTCCTCTTGCATTTGTAACATTTTTTGTTTAGCTGTTTCCTCAAATTGTTCATTTTCTTTTTTTTAGTCTGTTCATAAATTCTGCTTAGTTTAATCATGTCAAATGTGAACTTGCTTCTTTATTTTTGTTATATGCCTTGTTATATTACATTCTGTGTTTGTTTCTTTTTATTCAATTTTCTACATAGACCAAAAAAAAAGTTAATTTTGACAGATTTTTGAGCGCCGTGTACCTCATAAAATCGGTACGAGGTCAGTAAGCACAACCAGAATTAATACATAAAGTGCACTGGATTATAAGGCTCACTGTTGATTTTTGAGAAAAATTAAAATATTTTAAGAGCACCTTATAGTCCGAAAAATATGGTATATTTATACTGAGGACACATGAAACATACAGTGGATAATCTACTGTTTTTCTCTTTTAACACTAATTTTTAAAAATAAATTTCCAACCTACTCTAGACAAACTAATGAATGATAAATAAGAGCAAAAGGAAAAAAAAGAGATTAATATACAAATAATTAATATAAGACATTACAAAAATGCGGCATGACTGTGACGCCCAGTTCAAAATAATTGGATAATCTGTTGTTAACGTAGGACAGACAGGTGGACTGGCCTTAGCAGCCAAAGCCAGCCTAAAGTTTAGCATTAGCTTCCTGGCTAGAAGAGATGTGAATGCTAAACAGTTCTTTTTAGCAGAAGAGAACGCAAGTGAAGTAGGCACGCCCCAAACGAGGCAGCTAAGGCCTGAGTGATATTCTCTTCTGCTACATTAGACAAAAAAACAAAAAAAATCAGACAAAACTCTTTTCATGGAGAGATAGCTCTAAAATGTGTGTAATCTTATGAGAATTTTACAGAGGGAACAAAGTGTTATCCAATAAAAATGGAGGAGATATATGATTCCCTGCTAGCAGCGCTCCAACAGTGTTTGCAGCCAAAATGGGTCTAAACTGAACCCAGATTTTAGTGTAACTAGTGAAGAGGTGACTATAGTAAGGATTTCAATGCTTCCAGATGAGCAGCATCTGTTTCTATAACCACCCAGGATTCATTCATTCTCCTCAAACTGAGCCCCAGTGTGTCTGATTACTCGTATTAGTTGTACAATGAGTTAGGTAGTGTTATTCCACCCAGAGCTTTGGGCCTCTTGACGGCACAGCCTGGGTGGTTTCTTGTGCCCAATAAAATCCAGAATAAAATTATTTTTTTTTCTGGAAAAAAGCTGAAGAGAATAAGAAAAAAAACCACATTAAGCGTTAGAAAATATTCATTTAAAAGGTGATCATTCTAGTAGCCACAGAAAGATTTAGGGGAGACCATTGCTTGAATTTGTTTAATTTGTATTAGCAAAAAGAAAAATGTCAGCTATGCAAACTCCAAGACAGACAAAAGTCAAATCAGATATCTTGAATAGTAATTATATATGTGTCTTATGTGAGTAAATGTCCCTGATGGTGGTGATGAGTTTGCACGACCTTCAAGAGTCATTACTTAAGAGCAACAGTAAATCAGACATGAAGAGGATCTGCTTCAGCTGAGAGCTGCTGCCCCTTCTCTAACAAGCGTTTAAGCTCGGGCACGTTTCAATTAATTTAACATCTGGAGGGAACATTAGGTTGACTAACTCGTTCAGAAGTGTACGACTGATCCGACACCCACTCCATGCCACTCTGTGAGCAAGACAGTACCTTTTTGATGGTTCTGATGGTTTCGTTTCGAGACACGGGGAATTTGAGGAAGATCCCAGTCGGCAGCAGGAAGTCCATGTTGATCTCCTGGTCCCCCTCCTTCTCCCACTCCTCCTGCATCCCATACTTCCCTGGGGGCATGGTGATGGCCTCTCATTTACTGTCAGCTCCCCTGCTGCTGCTGCTGATGGGAACACAGGTCCAGAGAGAGGAAGCACAAACAGGGTCAGCAGGTTCACAATATAAACCCAAGTTCTGTGGAGGCCCGCTTGGACTAAATACTGAATCTTTTCAAGGAGCGAGAGGAACTCATAGAGACTGAACAGAACTTTGCCATCAGTTTCTGACAGTGTGAAGTCTTGATGAAGAAATGCTCCAGCAGGGTCACACGAGGTTAAACACCACAAGGACACTTCAGCTGAATTATCCACGCTGCATCAGCTACAAGTTGTTTGAAACCTGCTTCCTGCAGTGTGTGAACAGCTTCATGGTTTGCCTGAAAGTCATTCCGCCCTAGAGGAAACGTGAGAGCTTCAGCTTCATGACAGATGATAAAACACATCTGAAGGATCCTCTCACGTGAATACAATAAAAAAATGTTCTGTAGAAAATGATAGAAAACGTCACACATGGAGGGGAGGAAAAATGCCCACGTTCAGTCTGAGACCAGTTCGTGTCTGGTTTGTGATGGCTGGCAGCTTTGCCAACCTGTTGGCGCGCGCGCACACTTGCCTGTCAGCTCCACGGTCCGGTCACCTCCTCATGGTTCCGTCGCAGCTGGAGCATCCGGCAGAACCGAGCCGCTGTCCGTGTGTCGGTGAGGCGAGCCACCTGCTCAGAGGGACTCTCTCCGTCCGCCCCGCTGCGACGCTCCTGCTGCACTGACTGAGCGCGAGCGGGTGCGCGCGCAGCCTCGAGCCCGGGCACAAGGGACCGTCGGCAAAGTGTCGAGCTCGCGCGAAGGTGGCGCAGGAAGGTTGGCTATGCCAGGCAAAAAGTGACAAAAATCGCCATTTTCACGCAAATAATAATAAAAATAATACAAATAAAACCACTAACGCAGTTTTATAAGTCAGGACGCTGTAAAGTACAGTGAAACCCCAACACTGTGGGTGTTTACATCATTTTAAAACGACGTTCTGATCGGGAGAAAATACTAACGCCGCATTTTATGTTATACACAGGTGTGTCCAACTCACTTACAAAGGAGGCCAAAATTAAAACATTTTTCAAACTAAGGGCCGGTTTCAGAATCTACATTAACTCTTCTTGATGGCAGGTTCCTCAACAAGACTTTGATTGGTCTCATTTGACATTCTCTGTTGCACTTTTGACATCATAATCAAAGATTACTGAAACAAATTCAAGTGATAAAAGTATTTTACATTTAAAATAACATCTTGGGGGCCAGATTAGATGTCAACAAGGGCCACATTTGGCCCCCGGGCCTTGAGTTTGACACATATGCCACAGTGTTTATTTATTAACCTTGATTTATTATTTTATTAACCTTTATTTAACCAGGCAAGTCCCATTGAGATCACAGATCTCTTTTGTAAGGGAGGCCTGGACCTGAGTAGCCTATGCATGTTTTTTTATTTATTTTTTTGGTCTGTGGGAGGAAACCGGAGTACTTGAAGAAAAGCCATGCAAGCACGAGAAGAACATGCAAACTCCACACAGAGAGACCCCATGTTCAACCAGGGATTGAACCCATGACCCTCTTGCTGTGAGGCAACAGTGCTAACCACTGAGCAGTCGTGCTGCCATTCATTGACCTCATAAAACTTTGCTTTTTCTACTATTCAGAAGGTTGTCTTAAAACAGCATTAAAAACAGTTCTTGTAGGATTTGTGCCATACTTTACAGCATCCTGACTAACGAAACAACTTATTGTGAGCCAGACTATAGTAAAAGTCACGATTTATGTCACTTTTGGCTTGCCACAGCTGTCTGTCTTCGGCCCTCCACCACCATTAATGGTCCTAACCCACGGGGTCTGCCACCTTTATGTTTAAATTAAATGTTTTAATCATCTTTGCATGGAGCTATGAATCTATTAAACATGACTTTTTTATTTATTTATTCACATAAACAAAGAAAGATAAGATACATAAGAAAAAACTATATAACGACTAAAGGGATTGACACTCTTATTTAGAATTATGCATTAATATTCAGTCCTTAAATCTATAAAACATAAATACATAAAAATAGCAAACATGTCATAACAAAGCAGTAAGTTGGGATCTAAAGAAGAGCCATTTAACTAAACTGTTCATGGGTTTAAGGTACTGAAAGCCAACAGCTCAAGGGCTGGACATCCAGTAAATATTGCCATTATGTACATTTAATCAACTTTTTTTATTTTAATGAGTAGTGTGTGTGTGTGTGTTTAATGAGTAGTGTGTGTGTGTGTGTCTGTGTGTGTGTGTGTGTGTGTGGGGGGGGGGGGGTCATCTATCATTCAGTGCCCTGAGATGACTTCTGTTGTGACATGGCGCTATATAAATAAAATAAGCTGAAACTGAAACTATCACAGCAGAAGTGACAAACAACTGACATGTTTGTGTGAAATGGGGCCTTTTATGAATTATGCTTTTGATGTAACTCTGTTTTCTGTAACTCTGACTCTTCTTCTCTTTCGATTGGCTGTTCCATATACATAAGAAAAATACTTCAAATCAATTATTTAAATAACTATTAAATAAAATTAAATTAATTAAAAGGTTAATTAATTAAATTAGTTAATTAATCAATATTAAATTAATTAATGCATCAATTATTTGCAACTGCATTCGAGTTTGCAAAGTTATTATGCTCACATTAGGACAGATGTTCCCACTTGTTATAAGTAATGAAATAAATATATAAAAAGATCAATGGTTGCAGACTGGGCTTCTCCTCGTTGCCTTTCTTCTGTTGCTGCAGACGTCACACGCTGTGACCCAGAGCAGATCAGCAGCTTCTCTGTGACACTACATGTTCCTGTAAGTCAGATAAGGCTTGAGCCGGTGCATCTGTGATTGATGTGAAGATTCAGTATGAAAGAAACGTCCAAGTCACTGTCAGAGGTCAGGACAGGAACATATTTTAGTCTCAAACATGTTGTAATAATGCTGGTCTGTTTTTAATATCACTTTTCCAGATTCAGATCTAAAGGGTGTTCTTAAACTGATAACTGATTTAATGAAACGCTCGTTCTTTTTCATGGCCCGCTGCTGAAAGGCAAAAGGCAGAGGCTAATGTTTTGCATGTCTGTGTTCATATGTCTGTCTGTTGGCAAAATATCTCATGAACCACTGGAGACATTTAACTGAAACTTGTAGAAAATAATCTTTGGATGCACCACTACGAGGCTTTAACATTTGGAGATGATCTGATTCAAGATGGCTGCCACAGCCTGCTAACCTAAAAAAAAAGATTTTTAATAAGTTAGCGTTTACAGACAGTGACCTAAAATATCACGAGGTAGTAGCCGAGACTGGTCCTCAACAGATATCCTGATTTTTGTTTAAAATGTTATCAACCACTCTGTCTGTCTATCTGTGAGCAAAATATCTTAGCGACCATTGAACCAGTTTTAGCAAAGAATCATTGGCTGTACATCTACCTTTTGGAGTCATTCAAGATGGAAACCACAGCTAATCAAAATAAGCCATAACACAGTCAGCTTTATAGACACTGAGCTTAGTGTTGAAGTGGTAGTAGCTGAGAGTCGTTAACAACATACCATATTTTCTGGCATACAAGTCCCACCTTTTTGCCTAATTTACATGCGCAGCGACTTATATGCCGAAGCGACTTATTTATGTTTTTTCCATATTTATAACCCAATATTTGACAGAGATATGACTGTTTTCATTCATTCTCACATGGAAAATATTAAACACTACCATTTTCAGCCACTAGATGGCACTCGAGTAGTATGGCATGCCGTTGTGTCATGTTATAGGTAAAAGTGGCTATTAATGACACAATCGGCTTGCCATAGCCTGCCACCTTCGGCCAGCTCTTGGATCATACCTAGAACAATCATCAAATCAGCTTCATTTGGCTGCGCTGCCCCAGAAAAATGCAGCTAATTTGACCAGTGAAGTGCATTTATTAAGTAAAAGTTCAACTGAAACACACCTTTACTATAATGTCGAGCAAACAAATTATTGTTTTAGGTGCTTATCTTGTTAAATTTTGAAGAAATGCGCAGCGTTCCTCCTTCCTGATTTCCTCCCTCAGCGTGTTCCCGGAAGCACCGAGGCAGCGAATACTTTTGAAATTCAGCTGATTTGACCGTCAAAGTGCTTTTATTAAAGAAAAGTTAGCCTGAGACACACCTGTGCTATAATTTCGAGCAAACAAATAATTGTTTTTAAGTGTTACTCTTGTTAAATTCTTGTTAAAGTCCTTTCGTGTACACTCCCACGGCCGCCATTTGGCAGCCAAATCGATTTTTGGCACAACACCGGCCAACATTTCCGGGTTGTCAGTGGTGACGCATAATAGATGCGACTTATACGGTGAAGCAAAGTATTATGTTTTTTTCCCCACTTTATTAGACATTTTTGAACTGATGCGACTTCTACTGTGTTGCGACGTGTATGGCTGAAAATACGGTAGTTGATTCTGCATGAGTCTATGTCATTTTCAAGATTTGACCAAAACAACAACAAGTCTGTCAGTTTGTGGATCAGCTTAGTCTAAATGTTCGTCAGGAAAGGCGGCTTTCGATTTTCTTTGTCCTTCCATTTGAAGATGTGAATTTCACGTCAGCTTCACAGCAGGTGAACAATGACACCACAATCATAGAAGTACAGCATAAACCACAATAGTACACTTGTACTGTAAAAAGGGGAAATGAAGGGGCCACCGTCAACAACATGACTGTTGCTGTTCAACACTTACAACGACTTTTTGTTTGTTCGTTTGTTTGAATCCACTGGACTATTCGTGTGTAAAACAGACTACAAGTCATTAAACACACACACACACACACCAAAAAAATGTCTGTTAGTGGTGTTTGGTTTGCACTTCTGAAAACTCTTTTTGTTGTATTGCACTGTTGCGTTTTTGTTCATTAGATTCGTATCAGGTGTTGATGAAGAATGCAGCCTGAGCTTGTGAGTACGAGTCAGAACAGCTGG